TCACGAGGGGCATTCTTTTTTTCCAAATAGAAAACGCTGGGGGGGTTTTTTTTCTTTTTTATAAAGAAACCAGACGAGATAAGATAAACAATGCACTTTGATAACCAAGCGTCTATTGCCTATAAGACAAGCAAATTCCCCCCAAAAAAAAGAAGGGGGGGGGGTGAATGAAAGGTAGTACATGGATATCATCTCTGCAACCATCGCTCATTGGCGCGTTATTGCATCTCAGCTTTGGAAGGTGCGATAAATCCATCACATATCACAAAAAGGCCGGCCCACTGGATCACGGTGCTGAGCGCGGGATAAAAGCAGTGGCTTTTAAAGATAAAGAAAAAAGAAAAAAGAACATGGAGCCCAAGTTGGTACTTGTAGACTTTGGCGGTAGTGGTAGTGGTAGTGGTGGTGATGGTGGTGGTAGTGAGACCCCCGATTCTCAGAGACAAAACCTCAAAAGGGGGTTCTGGCATCACTTTTCCACACCAGCGCAGCGGAAAAATGAACAACCTTTTCGTCTTTTTTTCTTTTTCTTGAAAAGCCTGCCTGCTAGTATACGATAACGATGACTTTGGAAACCACGCCTACGACAGCAACGGGCAGCGACATACCGAATTTGTCCGAATTTCTTGCAGCTGGCGGTGACAGCAGCTATCGCTTTAACTTTATCGGGGAGGGCGCCGCGAACCTTGTTTTCGAGATCCTCCCTATCGACGGCAGCAATGCCAGCGAAGACATCAAGAAAATGTACAATGATGTGTACAAGGGTCAGTTCTGTGTCCCATTCTTCCATTCATTCCAATAAACTGACATAGAAAAAAAAACCAGGAAACCTCCTGCGGGTGCCCAAGTCTGGCACGCAGGCATTCAACTGCCAAGTTCTCCACGCCTACTGGAAGACAGCCGTCGAGCCTCTCTTTGAGCCAGGGGACCTAGCGCAGCTCCATCTCATCAGGCTCGGCAGTAGCAGCCAGCGCGTCGTCTCCCTTCTGACCGCGGCCCTCGAGGAGAACGAGACCAGCCGCAGGGGCGACTTCCAAGGATCCAAGGTCTCCTCCGCCTCCGAGTACGGCATGCTGATCGAGAACATGAGCATGAAGCAACCCTCCGACCTGGTCCTAGAGTTCAAGCCCAAATGGCTCGCCCAGTCTCCCAATGCGCCCCCCTCCTCCACAAGATGCCGGAACTGCGCGCGGGAAGCCTACCGGCGGAACCACCACCACCCCAGCAACAAGAAGAAGCAGAAGTCGTCCATCCCTATCCCCCTCTGCCAGCTGGACTTCCTCGCCTGTAGCGCAAGCCGCGGCGACCCAGCCGCCCTGAACCGAGTCCTCGAGCGCGTGTCGGTCATAAAGCACCAGCAGCGTCCCACCGTCACCACCCCCACGTCGGCGGCGGCCCAGCAACAACAACAATACGCCAGCCTGGTGAACTGGTTGAGGACAAACACCCTCCTGTCCAGACTCCGGGACATGCAGGTAGCCAACGATCCGCATGGATCGCTGGCTGTGACGAGCGCCGAAGACGACGACGACGCGAGCAAGTTACAGCTTGCCATGACGCTGCGGGACTGTAGCTGCTACGTGCGAATCTCCGCTCCTACTGAAAACTGCGAGATCGAGATCGAGGCCAAGTTAGCAGACCTGGACAAGAAGAACCGGGATGCCAAGCTGGGGTACTGGCAGGCCACAGAGCGGGAGCTGATTGAGGGGGGGTACTACGAGGGGATGGAGGAGCCGCGACAGGAGACGCACTGTCAGCTTGGCAGGCTACCAAAGCATACAAAGTATGTATAGCTGGCAGGATAGACGTTTTGTGGGGTTGTTTGTCGGCTGTGTCACTCCTCATGTTTAGGACACTTAATGTTTAGGCCACTTACAGATATCGGGATACCTATATAGGTAGTTTGGGGAAAGGGCAGGTAATGTCATAGTGAATCTTCCCTCAATGAGCCGAAACATACATGAATGTGTTTGTATATAAGAATGCAACAGTATCAACATTACATCGAAACTGTATATCGACGTCACCTTTGCTCTGGCATCATCTTCCCGCATCCCGTTACCCATTCTTTCCAAGAACGTCTAGACAGAAATCTAAGAGCGAGCACCTGTTCCCAATAATAATCTGTGTCAACCCAAACGCCGTATCATGAACCCCATATACACCAATGCAAATTCCATATCTTCCATGATTCAAATACCAGCAGCAGTGAAGCTCAAAAGACTGCCCACTGTCAACCCCGCAACAAGACACATTCCCATGAACCCGCCGGCTGCCTCGCGCTCGCTGTCGGCAACCCACTCGCCTGCAGCCATCATGGCGCTGGAGCCAAGCCAGCCGTTGGTCAGACCAAAGGGAAGCTGGACGAGTATGAGGTAGAACAGGTCGCTGCTGATCAAGGCACCCCGCCCACGGATGTTGCACAGTAGATAGAGGGGCAGGAAGCCTAACCTGGCAATGCTAATAGCGAACAAGGCCGTGGGGCGATGACGCAGTGAGAATGGCAGCATCGTGGCCATGCGACCGAGAAGATCGCCCAGGTTCCAGAAGAAAAATCCCAGTGGGATGAAAGCACCCGGGGCAAATAAACGCCCCGACTTCTCCTCGTCGCGTACCGACAGGATCTTCGCGGTGAACACGGGGAAAAACATGGCCACCACAAAGCATAGGAACACGGAGCCTGCCACCCAGTGCAGCTTCCAGAACAGGGTCGGGATGCTGACAAAACGCCGAGCTGCCCGCTCAGCCTCCTCAATACTGGTGACGGACTCGGCGAGCTGCTCTGCCATGCGCCGCTCGATGAGCCGATCATGTCGTCGCATGAGGGGGATGAATGCGAATATCGTGACTCCGGAGACAAACACGGCTGTCAGAAAGTAAATGAAGGCTGCAGCGCCAGCCTCGCCAACCCCGGACTCACCCGAAGTTGGCTCAGCGCTCGCTGGTGGGACAGCGAGGAATGAGAACATCTGTGCCAGCGGCGGCAAAATGCCTGCGACGCCCTGTCCCGCCATGATGGCCTGTGTGTATTCGGGGCGGCCGAAGCTGGCTGCGTACGCAAAGGCTCCGTTTTGCATCATACCGCAGGCCAACGCACTCAGGCAGACCATGACCAGCAGGAAAGCCAGGTACGCCGGCGGGGAGATGTCGAGAAAGAAGGTTGTCGAAACAGCCAAGAGGCCGAAGATGCCCAAGTTCATGAACAGCGCCGTGTTGATCCGGAAGGGGTAGTTGGCGGAGGACTGAATGTTGGTCAGGACGTACATGGCAAGCAGGTTGCTGATGGTCGACACTGAGATGATGGCCGACTGTGAGTTTTCAAGGAGGAATTGGTCGGATACGAATCGCGTTTGAAAGTAGGGCGCTGCTGCGAGGAACATGTTCCTATGATAAGAAACCACATTTGTTAGCTCCCTTGCTCACCATGGCCATGACCCACCAGGACTTACCATGCCCAGAGCATCGCGACGCCTATCACGGCGAATATCGAATACTCTATCCATGAGAACCGCTCCTCCGCCGCCTCCTCCTCCTCCTCTAGGTACACCGACCCTTCGAGTGTCCCCGAGTCATCCGTCAGGGGTTCGTACTCGTCCTCACTCGCCTTTGCAGGCGTGAATATGGACTTGATGCGATCCATTGTGTCCATTGTGTTGTTGTAGGGTGGATTGGTTTGCCCGTCGCGTTTGGTAGTTGTCTTGCCAATGGCCGATTCGAGTAGACGACAGAAATAGGAGGAGTGCCGGGGCTTTGATCGTCGCGGCATTTGCTTCTATATATGTTTCAGACTTATCGTTTGGAGAAGGCGCAGAAAGAAACAGATAGGTAGTCTAGGTAGGTAACGTGGGAGGCGGAGCCCAGAGCCCGAAGCCCGAGGTGGGAAAAGAGGGCAACAGCACAAACGGCTGACTTTGAAAGCGCCGTGGCGAATGGATCCAAGTTTGCGAGATTGCCCTATCCCAGGTGGTTTAGAAAGTCGCTGACGCCGTCGAGAGATGCCTCGCGGTCATCGCTTTACATAATTCGCGGGGCGGAAGAGAGACCAATGTCGACGACCGTCATGTGTGGACGGTCTTGAATGTCTGTGATGGGGTCACAAGGGATGGTGTGTGGCAGGCAGATAAGACACGCTGGACGCGGGACAGCCATCATGGGCTTATCGGGGCTAAGGGCGCTTGGATTCGGGGCAAGATAAAAGCCGGCCTAATGATAAGATACCCCATCATCTATGTTACACTACGTACCTTATCCATGTAGCGGGACTTCAACAGCAGTCTGTCCACATTTCCAACGAGAGCCATATTGTTAGAACCATTCATATTAACAAACTTCAACTGAAGAAAAAAAAGAAGAAAAACTAGCAGCGGATTATGTTATTAACTAGACGGCTTCATCCCGTAAGAGGCGTGGGAAGCAAAGCACCGCAATATGTACATGTACAATGCGATGATGCGGGATGCGGAGCATTCCGACGGGGGTTTGTGGCCACCGAGACGCGCACAAATGGATGACAGACAAGCATTCCCCACGCATCAACAAATCGGACGAACAGAGTGCCGACATGTTGGAAGAGCGAGTTGAGACGTTAACAAGCTTGAAGAAGGTCGACTTGGCCAAACTACCTTTTTTGGTAACAGGCATCTCGGGAATGTGCGTTCGCCAACCCGACGACAATACCTGTTAAGCGCATATTCTCCTTGGTAGCAGACCAAAGGTTGGCTGATGCTTTCCATGACAGCTTCTAAGTTGACATACATAAACTACTAAATTACACAATTGCTCCGTCCATATTTTATAATCAATGACAAGCTGGTTATACACACGCCCCTTTCTCTCTCTATCGCTTTTTTTTTATACAAACACTTATATCATTTGTCGACAAGGCCACAGCCCTGACAGAACATGCAGAAAGAAGCTTCTCATAACACCGACACCACCAAACAATGTAGAGATTGCTAACACCAAAGTACGGATAAAGCCACAGTGTAGATCAAAAATGTTGGTCCGACCGGGGATTGAACCCGGGACCCTCGCATATGATGAGCTGTAGACTCGCCTATAAGAACGATGTGATATCCATCTACACCACCGGACCCGATTTCTTTTATGTAAATAAATCTTCTTTGCCATCTTAAGAACCCAGTCCCCTCGTTCTCTTGACCTCTTTCCCTTTTCCCAACAGAGCCGCTTAAGCGGATTCTGTCTCCGTTAAGCGGGTCGTATGTACGCCGTAACTCCACCACATCAAAACAAGTGTTGCGCACTGGGGGGGTTTTTTTTCCCCATGCGCCACCTCTTGCACCCGCCAACAGCGGGGCTGACAGCTGACTGCATCACACGCGCCACCACGCCACCACACCTTTGTCATCCAAACACCAGCACCTCATCATGCATGCCTTCAATGTGGACAACGAGTGAAGATTTCGGCAAATTATGCCAGGTCCCGCTCTGTCTCTGTGTCTTTGTTCGAAACTAGAAGCTCTGTATTTTTTTTCATCTTTTTTTCCAGGAGGGGGGGGGGCAAGGTTGAGGTTGGCTGGGCTGACTTAAGTAACTTGGGATAAATATACTACTTACCAGTAAAAGCGCCGCTGCGAGCGCGACACTGAGATGGGAGAGTCTTAACATTAGAGCAATATCAACAACCCCCCCTCATGAATAAGTAAAGGGTAAAAAGAGGGGATTATTACTAGAATTAGAGCATTGGCGGCCATTTATGCGGCCCGCCCAGACTTTCCGCGGCACGTGACGGTTGTGTCCTGCGGTGCATGTATGTCGTGCAGTGTTTATCCTTCACATAAACGCGTGCGCAAAAGTGGTCCATCTGTCTATCCGTCTGCTGTCTTCCGTATTGTTGGTCTTTCTTTTTTTTTCTTTTTTTTCCCTTTTTTTTTTCCAAAAAAAAGGGGTATGAAGGCGGACTCAAGTTTGTTTCCCAAACTGTGTGGTGTCTTTGGACGAATTCAAGACGATATAACAAGCGAATTCATCAACCAACCAATCTTATGCATATCTTCCTCTGTAAATGAATGCAAGTGTTTTAACACTGTATTTATGAGAAAATTCAAAAGAGGTACAAATGGGAGAAATGGGGCTGGGAAAGGACACACAGAGTCAAGGAAATAAGAGAAGAATATATTTTGTAAGGAAGGAGGCTCAGTCACGACAATTTTAACGACGTAGAACACGGCATGTACCTAAAACACACGCACGGGACGGAAAGGCACAAAATAAGGTGGTGGCTGGCTTCAGATATTTTTTTTGGGTAGGTATTTTCCTTTGCAAAACCCGACGAAATAGTAGACGAGTACCTAGTTACTTCTACCTTGCACACAACCGCCCCCCAAAAAAAGAGGCGGGAAGGGAGGGATGCACAACGCGCAAACAACCATTAGTGATGATTCACACACACACACAAAAAGAATGGGGCGACCAAAGGCCCTCCTCTAAACTCATATTACATTATGAATACTCATTACCCTTTTTTCTAACAAGGAAGAGAAAAAGAACGTACAATGAAGAAAAACAGTCATTAAGAGGGGTCCCCACTCCAAATCTCCCACAAGATCAAGTCTCAAGACATACGAAGAAAAGACTCACTCCGAATCATGATCGAGCGGGAACCGATCAGTAAACTATCACACACCAGCCCAGTTAGCACCTTTCTCGAAAACAACCAAAGCAATCGCGAGAGAGAAACAACCTCACCTTGAAAACGGCTAAACCACCGTCGAGATCCTTAGCAAACCCATCCACCTCTGTCCCAGTAAACACACCCGTTGCATTGGCGGTCGGCACGCCAACATCCTCCAGCGCCTTGGACGCCGAGCCGAGCGCACCAACCGGCTTGCCCCAGCGGAACCCGTCCAGTAGAATCTGGCCGGGCCTCCCCGTCGGGAACAGCGGCGAGGCCTTCGCCTGCGCACCAAAGAGCGCCTCCGCGCCCGCGGCAACTACGATGCCGTCAAATGCCGTGGCGTCGGCGGACGAGTACGTCATGTCGACTCCCTCGGCGATGGTCTCGCCCACGACGGTGACGACGACCTTGTCCTGCGCGAGGCGCTGCTTCAGGGCCGCGGCCTGCTGGAGCGAGTCGGCCGACTTGGTGGAGGCCAGGACGCCGACGCGCAGGGTCGCGACCGTGGGGAGAGTAGAGTTGAAGATGGAGATGCCTTGGGTCACGTTGTCGTGATAGAAGGTCGGGTCGGGGACGGGGGCGGGCAGGCCGAGGGCGACCGCCACCCGCTTCGCCACGTCGTTGCTGACGCGGTTGAGCTGGGCGAGCACTTTTTGTTTCACTTGGTCTGACGTGAGGTGGCTGGCTTCGAAGCGCATCGCGTTGATGAGGAACTGCTGCTCAACTGGCGTCAGCGAGTTGTAGAACAGCCGCGGCTGGGTCCAGTGGTCATCAAAGGTTGGCGAGAGGGCCCGGACAAGGTTGCCGGTAGTGGCGCGTCCGGGGGCTGTGAAGAAGCCTCGTCCGGTGGTCTGGTTTGCCTGTGCTGGGAAGCCGTTGTTGAGGCTGTTGGGCGTGTACGGGAATTTGTTTTTGTGGATGAAGTTCTGGCCGGCGCCGTCGCGGTTGTTGTTATGGATAGGTGTGTTCACGGGGCGGTTGATGGGCAGCTGCTCAAAGTTGGGGCCGCCGTGACGGTTGAGCTGCGTGTCCAGGTACGAGAAGATGCGGCCCTGAAGCAGCGGATCCTCGGTGAAATCGATTCCGCGTACGATGTGCCCTGGCTGGAACATAATCTGCTCCGTCTCGGCGAAGTAGTTGGTCGGGTTGGCAGTGAGAGTCATGACACCGAGCTTCTGGAGAGGGGCAAGCTCCTCGGGGATCAGCTTCGTAGGGTCGAGCAGGTCGAATCCGAATGCCAAGGCCTTGTCCTCGTCCACAACTTGGACAGCAAGCTCCCAGCTGGGCCCGTTGCCTGATTCAATGGCGTCGAAGAGGTCTTGCCGGTGTGCGTCTGCATTCTTGCCGGCCAGGACTTGCGCCTCCTCCCAGACGAGACTTGCCTTGCCTTGCTGCGTCTTCCAGTGCCACTTGATCAGCTTGGTAGATCCGTCATCCCTCACAAACCGGAACGCGTGGACACCAAAGCCGTCCATGTGACGATAAGAGCGCGGAATACCAGACCCAGCCATGGCCCAGAAGAGCGTATGCATGGTGCTGGCTTGCTGGGAGAAAAAGTCCCAGGCCGAATCATGAGCCGTTGCTGCTTGGGGGATCTCGTTGTCCGGGCTGGGCTTGACTGCGTGAATCAGGTCCGGGAACTGAATTGCATCCTGGATAAAGAAGACCGGAATGTTGTTTCCGACGATGTCTAAATGTGTTAGTATACTGTCTGTTTGGTACTAATACCGCTACCTCTGTTGCTTGCTTACCAAAATTTCCTTCGTCAGTATAGCTGTAAGGAACTAGTGTCAGCCTCGTTCCATCTCCAAAGTTGCACACAACGGTAACCACTTACAATCGAGTCGCAAAGCCGTGGACGTCTCGGGCAGTGTCTGCGCTACCCCTCGAGCCAGTTACGGTTGAGAAACGGACAAAGACAGGAGTCTCTTTTCCGGGGGCGCTCAGGAAAGAGGCAGCAGTGATATTGCTCCAGTCGCCGTAGCTCTTGAAGGTTCCAAAGGCTCCTGCACCTCGAGCATGGACAGCTCTCTCAGGAACCTGACAAGTCCCATATTAGTTCTCGTACACTTGCATGTCCCGAATGACATCTTAACTCACCCGCTCGTGATCAAAATGCTGGATCTTTTGCCTGAAGATGAAGTCTTCGAGCAGCGTCGAGCCGCGGGCACCGGCCCTTAAGCTGTTCTGGTCCTCAATGGGGCCGCCGACATCAGAGGTCAAGAAGCCTTTGTTGTCATCAACCTCAAACTCTGTCAAGAACTGCCCCGACGGTGCGGCCGGGGCAGGCTCATCACGCTTCTCCTTGAGAAACGATGGGTCAGCAAAGGGGCACGCTGCCAGGGCCGCTCCCAGCAAGCTACCCCATGAGAGGAGTGCAGTTGCTGAATACATTATGTTTCTCGTGCTCCAGTAGGAGGTACTGGTCGAAACGACGAGTGTTTGAAGCGAAGAAGGGACGCGGGGCGATGGCGAGGCGAGCTGCGCTCTTGTATGCTGGCGACGGTTGGCACTCGAGTCAGTGCCGAGGCAAACGGGTGGCCAAAGCTGGGTGTCGCGAGACTCTTATAGATTCTCAAGACATGGTTGGCATGGCTTGCTGCTTCCGACATGGGGGACATGGGAATCACAGAATAACCCTGGAAACTGTGTCTCGACGAGTCACAAGGTTCCTGCTCGCCTGCAGGTTGTCTGCGAGGCAGGCCAGGCAGGCCAGGCAGGCTCCACATGCTGGGGACTATGTAACCATTCCATGTAAGGAGCGTGCAGGCAGGTTGGGTAAAGGGTCCCCATGCACCTTCTGGTGTCCCTCGCGGCTGCTTTCGCCAAGGCAGCTCAATACAGGATTGCAGCCACGTAAATTTCGGCATCAGGTCCAGTTGTGAGAACATTGGAAGTCGCTAAACCCGGCAATACTCAGTCAGACTGGCGCTACACAGAACAAACTCTGTCCCAGACGCATCCATTTTTAATGTTACACGGACTCTCCATTTCTTCGCTTTCAGATATGTCAGTTCAACTATCCTCACCTCATACTCGGAGTGAAGAGCGCCATGGTTGGCAATAACGTGAGCCCCATCACAATGAATATACTGGATCCCGGCCCGGAAGTGCTGTACAGGGCTTGGGATAGGCCTGAAATGATGATGGCCTTGGCGAAATGGCAAGCATGAGGTCAGTCAGGTGAACAAACTTGGGAGCAGTTTTCTCTAAAAGGCAGGAAGATAGATAGGTAGCTACCTTCCAAGGTTCTTTCAGCTCACATCCGATGGGTAAAGCGGAGTCGAGGGTTTAGGGAGTCTGGCTACGTACATAGGTCACGTCTGATCTCTGAACAAGTTTGATTCCGCTGCGTCAGAGAGCTGATAATAGTGTGGGGTTTAATCCACCGAAACAACGGCTCCGCGCCATCTCGTACCCTGCGGTGGAAGAAGTCTATTCGTTATCAGCAGGCAGAA